GGGGGGTGTCAGGATGCCTGGGCAGGCTCGGATCTCACCCTCCCCAGGACCCCAAGTTCTTGATTGGAAGACCTCTGTAGCCCCCCTCCTGTTCACACCCTACACCCTTGGGGTCCCTCCCGGTGTCCCAGGGCTGGTCCCCGCGACCCCCAGCGCTGGGACTTCACTCTCTGGGGTGGTTTCTAAAGTGACTCCAGCTTCTGTCATGGGCCTTCTCCTGCCTCCCTCTGGGGAGCCGCTGCCCTGGGAGCAGCCCGTGGAGAGGCTGCGTGTCAAGGGAAGTCAGACCTCGGCCGCGGCCCCCCAGCACCTCTGGAGGGGGCGAGCCTCGAGGTGACGGACCCTGAGCCCAGACCTCCCCACGCAGCCACTCTGGTTCCCGACCTGCAGCAGCTGCCAGGTGGTCACCATTTGTTGTCTGGAGTGGCTGCGCTTTGAGGAACTTCGTTACACAGCGATGTAGAGCGGGCACACGGCTGCAATACTGTTTAAATCCGAGACTCGCTGAGCCTGTGAGTTCTTCCTCCCATCAGTGTGGGTCTTGCACCAGAGCAGGGAGCTCCCACAGCGAGGCTGGCTGCCAGCAGGTGCAGGAGCTCCCTGGGGATGACCCCCACCAGCCGAGGTCAGGTGCACGCCTGGCCAGACAACCCTCCCAGCAAAGACAGTTTTCATCGGATCCACTCGGCCGCTTTGGGCTGAACTTACATTTGAAATGTCTCACTCCTTCAGCATTTTACTCTGGGGGACTCCGGTTCCCGTCGGCGTTTTTGATGAGCCCTTTTCCCCGTGGGCTTTGGGAGATCTGGTAAAATCAGGACATTAAGCGTGGCCTTTCCCGTGCCCGCCGGCGCAGTGTCTGTGGGGTTTCTTTTTTGAGACGTAAGAACTTCGAAGGGACGTGTGAGTTTTTAAGAGCTTTCTCCCAGAACCGGGGAAACGTACGTAGAAGACTTTTATCTGTAAAAGTCATGGCATTGGCTGCAGGTAGAAAAGTGCTTAAAACTAAGACCGTTGCCGTAACCGGTTTGGTTCAGTGGATAGAGCGTCGGACTGCGGACTCAAGGGTCCCAGGTTCGATTCAGGTCAAGGGCATGTACCTGGGTTGCGGGCACATCCCCAGTAGGAGATGTGCAGGAGGCAGCTGATTGATGTTTCTCTCTCATCGGTGTTTCTAACTCTCTGTCCCTCTCCCTTCCTCTCTGTAAAACATCAATAAAATATATTTTAAACAAAAAACTAAGACCTTATTCTAAAAGGGCTGATCATCGCACTCCAGGTGGGAACACGTGCTGCCCTCTCCTGCGGTGACGGGGGGCGAAGACCAAGATGGGGCACATCTGGGCCTCCTGGCGGGTCAGACTGGGGGCTTGTTCTCAGCAAAGCGGTACGACACCCCCGGGGGGAGGGAAGGAAGGGCCGGGAGTGAGTTGGGAGCATGAGCCACAGCTGAGGGGGAAGGCCTTTCCCTTTGTGCGTCTTCTTTCATTTCTTTGGGAACCTTTTGTTGTTTTCACCTCCTTGGTTCATCCCTCAGTATTGTATTCTCCTCGATGCTGTTGTGAATGGAATTGTTTCCTCAATTTCCTCTTCCGTTGGTTCATTGTTGGTGTATGAAAAGGCTCCAGTCCTTTTTAAGCGGGGCTTTACCCACTGCATTCAGTTTTCCATTTCAGTAACTGTATCTTGTTCTTACGTTTTCAATTAGTTCTTTGATTTTTTAAATTATTTTAGTCTTCCTTGTTTACAGCCTTTATAGTTCTTTCATTTCTGATCCTGCTCTTCATTATCTCTACTGAGTCCCGCGTGGCAAGTGGGTTCACAGTGGATTAAAAATGCCCGTTTTCACAGGCCACTCGGTGTGAGGATTCTGTGTGCTCTGTACGGAGGGTTCTCTCACAGGAGGGTCTGGGTTTGCCAACCCCTCGGGATGTCATGCTAATGTGTCGGCAGTAGGGTTTCCCAGGCGAGTGGCACCCCCGCTCCCAGGGCAGACCTGTGGCTGTGCACTTCCCAGGGATTCTCCCATCCTGAGTTCGGGCGACAGGCCCCCTGGCTGTTCCTGGGCTGGCGAGCGATCGCATCTCGTCTGCCCTGTGGTGGGGATCGCTACCCCACATGGTGGTCTCACCCTCATGTCCTGCTTCACACAGTTGCAAACCTCCACGCAGCTCCCGTGGGACCAGCGCCCTGCCCGCTCCCATCCAGCCCCCAGGGTTCCCAGTCACTCATTGGGATTTTGACAGGGGTTGCATTGGGTCCGTGGATTGCTTCGGATGGTATTGACATTTTACCAATAGTAAGGTAAATTGCTTATTATTTACTAATTAACTTAAATTTCAGGTGACTTCTCTCCACCGTCCTGAGGTTGTTGCAGGCTCAGGCGGGCGCTCCTGGGACCCTCAGAAATCCTACATGCCCGCTCCGCCCAGCAGCCCCTGCTCCGTGGGCAGCCCGCCCGCTGGCCGCTCTGCCCTGGCCGCTCTGCACCTGGCCGCCGCCTCCCCCCAGGCCGGCCGGTGTCGGGAACTGGGATGCAATGTAAACTGACCTGCCCGCGCAGCCGCTCAGGTTGCTGTGACCTTGACTCCAGCCCAGATAAGGAAGGCGGCTCCAGGTCAGTGAAACATTAGCCAGCAGGGCCTGGCATCCTGTGCAGGTGGGACTCGTGAGGAGGGCGCAGAGCACACCGGCCCACCAGCTCACCTGCAGGTGAGGCAGTAACATTCCCAACAAGCGGACGAGCCCCCGCCTCACACGCAG